TAGGGATGATACAGAAATATGATTTGCATCTTTTTTCTTTCTTTTTTAATTTTAATTTTTTTTCTTATCCTATTTTTAATATATCGTCTTAATGTCTTATGTTTTATATATTTTATACTCTGTATCTTGGTATGGCCTAATGGCTTATCAATAATAATAAACTAAACAAATAATATAAATGTGGATAATAGTACAAATAATAATTTTCTCTGGCTTATTAGCCATCTGTCTGCTTTTTACACTACATTCCCACTTTGTACATCCTAATTATACTGATGCAACACTGCAACAATAGTTCAAACAACAATATTATAACAATTGATTTTTAAAAATCTGGATACCAGTTTCAGAGATTAATGTATCTATACCCAATTCACTATTTCAGAAAATACAGTTCCTAACTATTTTCTTTAGGGACAACATATTGATTTACTGGTTATGTACATTCTTCTGTTACTGCTCTAAAACACTGACCGGAGACACTTCAGCTCCCATTATAGTTCCTAACGAAGAGTAAGATTATATTTTCATTTCTCTGATAACAGAAATGCCAAAATGGATAAGAAAAGCAATGTGATGTTCCCAATCAGTGTTAAAGTCTCCCAGGACCTAGATGTCTTGCAGAGATAATATAGGAATTGAGATATTTACCAACTGGCAGAGTATAACAATTTAGGAGGAGGGAAAAATTTAGCAGGAAGAAGAAAACAGATGGCATAAATCCCATGTTCTCACTAGCTGAAGTTAATGGATAGAATATCTGTGGCAAGGCACCACAGGCTGTTGATGGAAGCATCTTCTTGGTATTTCTTCCCAAATATATTTATATACTAGATACATGCATGCTAAAATTTCAAGTAAAGAATGATTTCAATATATTAACAATGCTATTAAATTTAAAGAACCACAGATCCAATATTAAATTGCAATGTTTGTACAGTTTAACTTTAATTTTATTAGAAATCATAATCTGCATTTTGCTATGACTTTTTCCTGCTAACACACTAAATCTTGAAATGGTGTTTCTATTCATATCTTTTCAAATAAAATTTATGACTCTAATAGCATGATTGCAAAACCAACCTGGCTTGAAATGTGGTAGAGAATGAACTCCAGGCCATGACTCTTCATTTGGGGTTCCCAGAACCTATGAAAACAAAGAAAAATATATTCAATTTTAATATAGAAGATAACTTATTATGAACCATTTTAAACTTGAATTAATAAAAGAGGTTAACTGAGACACAGAATTAATTTTCTTATGCTTATATACAATTTTATATAATTTATATACAATTGAAATAATTTATAAAAGCCAATCATTTAAACTTTATGACTACTTTTGTTCATAAATTATTTATACTCAGAAAAAGCTACTATTCCTATGTTTGCCTAACTAAACGAGTTTGCTGCTACTAATTCAAAAATGAAGGTTATACATACCAAAGTGAACAAATAAATAACATAATGAATTGAATCCCTCAGTTGTTCTTTAATTCATTTAAACTGAATGCTGTGCACAGAGAGAGTCTTACAGCCTTTTGTTGAGTTCAGTCCACCATGCAATATTTAGTATGCCCAGCAGATGGAAGCAGAAGATTTAACTTAGAAAGTCCTCTACTCTTATGACAGCTTATTACTGTATTTTCTCAAAACAATACTAGTTTTTCCCTAAATAATTTACTCTCTAAAGTGGGAGGATAATCTTAGACTTATTGAAAATACAATAAAGGAAGCAAGCAAGTCTCCATAGCTGTATTTAAAAACAAAGTATTGAGCTGCAAGCTTTCATATACAATAGCTTATTCCATCAGTCACAAAAACTACAAAATGTAAGCTACTTTCTGGAAGCTAATTTTGCATTTTGAAATTAGTTTTTAATCTTCACACAATTTTCTGTGAAAAGTAATTTACAATTAAAAGAATAAAAGATGATCTATAGTGGACATGGACAACTATCTATGTGTGTGTGTGTGTGTGTGTGTACAAATATCTGTGTAAATATACATGTTTGTGAGATTAATTGACTACAGTTTACCAACATGGAATCAACAAAGGTTGCAACTGACCTTGCTAAATCAGTTCAAACCTACAACAATTTCTTTAGGGTTTGTAGATTACCTGACGCTAGTTCAATACCTACATTCTTTGGAGGAACCAACAGTTCTCAGTTTTTTCAAGATTTCAGACAGGTACAAACCCAATGAAAAAGGCAGTAACACCTTCAGTGTGAACAAAGCAATAAATAAAGCACGGGGGGGGGGGGGGGGGAG